ATCGCTCGAAACGTCAGCTTTTGTATTCGTTACGGTGGCCAATTTACCACTTCAACTTTCTTGATATATCCAAATTAAAAAGTAAAAGTGTTGAGAATTTTGTGTCACATCAAGAAGATTCTGTAAGTCAAAGAGTAACACGCTATCCTACCACAAGCTCTTACTTTAGGGAATTGAAATTCTAATATTAAAAAATTTATCGTTTATCATAAAAAAAACACTTTGCAGTCAAATTACTGAATTACGTTAATATGTACAATACAATAAGACGAATATTGAAAAAAAATATATATATAATATATACAGTGGCTAATAACAAAACTGTCTCTAAATCTGTTAGTCTTGCACACGGGTGCGGTAAAGGTGCGACCAGATCTAAGGTTGTACACCTGCTGGGAAAGTGTTGGGAGTAGATGGCAGAGTTTGTGGTTGCCATGCGCAATTTTATTCAATAGATCTTTACATTATGTGCACCTCCTATCGTATAAGGCCAGCTTTAGCTAGACCTTCATTATAATTACAACCTGGAAAGACTATGCGTAACGCACGACGCTGAATGCGTTCAGTTTCATCCAAGAGGTACAATGGTAGATTGCAATGAAAGACCTGGCATGCATATTCTAGGAATGATCTACTAACGCTACAGTAAAATCTAACAAGATCATTGTGAGCAATACCCGCGCGCTTAAGTTATCTTAAGAGGTAAAGTCTCTTGGCAGCCTTGATCGTGATTGAGTCGATATGTGCAGATCATTTGAGGTCACTGCTTATGATAACGCCAAGAACTTTAGCCGAAGATACCCTTTCGAACTCGACCCCTTCTAACATTACGATATCTGGGGTCGTTTTTCGATTCGTCTTAAAGTAAAGGGCCACCACAGGGTGATACATTGTTAAAATGGACAAAGACTCCGGGAATTTCACTTACCAAAACTTGAATATTTCGAATTGCAAAAAAACGGACTTATTAAAATTCTTTATATTGTTTCCTATACCAATATATAATACCTATATCTGATTGCACAAAATTCAAAGTCAAGGAGAAAACAAACCTGTTAAAATCTGTTTCGGGGTGCATGGCACAACACCATTCGTCGGGCAATTGACGACCTACATTTTTCTGAGCAAACGGCAGTTTTCGCCATTTAAGGCATATGTCTGAAGACACAGAAAATGACATATTCAAGCTACGCCACGACTTATGAATGGTAATATCAGTATTCGTTAAAAGTTTTTCAAGAGGTACTTCAATAAATGAGGGGAAGGTAGCTCTGATGGTCATACTAACGTCCTCGCCACGAAACGGAGATTAAAAGGACACCATTTCTGAGACGCACATGAAAGATTCATAGGTTCATTAGAAACTATTAAAACGTTATCAACGTACCGCACTGTACATTAAAGGGTATCTGCATCGCCCTTTTTCTCGCAAACTTCTGATCCATGGAGGGGCCGTCCGTCCATTTGCCTATATAGCCGAAATCCTCCCTAGGATCTAATAAGCATTGGAAAACAGTCGATATCAACTCCGTTAAAAGCCACAAACTGGAGTACAAAGCCACACAAAACAAACAAACCACCAGACAAACAAACAAAACCATAGCCTTTTCCAAAAACTTACCAGAACTTCGTGACACCCTGACCTGTTCAGTAAACAAGACATCTTGTCAGTATGAATAACGCACGAGATATTTAGCAACATATTGACCCTTTAATTCTTATGAGAGTTAAATGTGTTAGTTCTCTTAGAAATTTTAAGGATAAAGCAAATTGCCTGAAAATAACAAGTTCTCACGACCAGGCAATGGAAAAACGTACAGCCACAAGTTAGCAGAATTAGCCTCCAGATCACTGGAGTAAAACGATAAAAAGATTTATTAAGTAACCAATAAAATCGACAAGTATAAATATGAGACCTTCAGATTTTTAGAGGAGATGCGACAGTGTCCTGAGAGACAATGACCAAGCCAACACTTACTTTCAATTTTCGAGTCTTTCCAGTATTGTTCTAAGTGCTCACCCAACGCTCTTTGTAATTGTTTAAATTCCTGTACATAGAAACAAAGAGGTAAGGTTGGTCAACAGAAGTTCAGGAAAAAAAATTAACAAACAAAAATCACTCAAGTGGGAGATGCACGTCTCTATCAGAAAAATTCAGCGTATAGAGAGTTTTCAAATGACGTCATATCGTTTGAAACAGTCTTGTAGAAGGTCATTTCGGTTTGAAGCGTTTCTTGTGTTTCAATACATCCGAAATGAGTCTCCCTGGTCGCATTTCAATTCGACAATGAAAATACACTCCTCATAAATGGTTAATGAGCAGCATAACGTACTCCGATAGCTGAATGAATGCGTGAAAGGTAGTTTCTCAATTGAAATAGGCAACTTTCTATTCACGAAAGATCGAGCACGTATCTTGTACCTTTCCATCTGCGAAATCCTGCTTATTGTGTGTAGGCTCCAAAACGAGATACGGCACATCTACAACACCTGTGGAAGTGATAATGAACGCGAACAGAGGTTATGATGTCAGACTAATAATCAAGTCAGGTGAAAAGTCGTTTGTCCATCGAATTGTTCAAGTCTAGTCTTCTGATGCTCATTGGTCAGTTTTGCCACGATGCTGTTTTCTGTAGGATTCAAATAGCGTTTGTCAGCTGGGATGGGTCGGTTTCGATCTGTTGGTAAGGTAACGTCGTAATATTTGGTTCGTAGGTTGGTTTTAAGTTGCGACAGGGATTTTTGCGGAATGAAATGGAAAGAGGGCATCTTACCTATGATTCCGTAACATTTTCTGCAAAACAAAACACGAGCAAAAAGGTAAAAAAATACTGAATTAAAAGAGGTAAATCGAAGTTTTCCTTTGGCAACCAATACCATTAATCAGAGGTGACCTGGCAGACATAAAAACGTACACAGAGCTTTACATGATGACCACGGTCGTAATAAGATAAGCAAAAGGAAGAGAATATCATAATAAAAGTGCAAAGGGAACTACCACTTACACCCCTCCATCCTTTTGCGGACCAACTTTTTCGTACATTTTTATCAACCTATGAAATAAACACACGTCAGTCTCAGAGAATGGTTAATCAAATGCTAAGCAAAAGGAAAAGGCGAAAATTGATCAATCCATTTTAGGTGAAACAGTAATTCTTAGCAACTACCACTTGTGAAATAACACGAATGATCTCGTGGCGGACATTAACGATAACGTACCGACTGCAGTTGTAAATGAACATTCCGTAATAACGACGATTTTCAATATTGAATCCGAATGTGAAGTTAAGAGTCTTGGGTTCCTTCATGGATCTGTGGAAAAATGTCAAGTAACACTGAAAGTCTTAACGAGAAAATAGGAGTAATAAGCGATTTTACCCTACGCCTTTACTACTACCGCGCAACCTAGCGCACGGCGCTACAGCTACCCAAGCCCAGGATGTAAACATTCTTATCATTTAACACTAATTAATGTGAAAAAGAAGTATATGATGGATTTAAATTCCGCCCTATAGGTAGGACAACAGAACAACACTTTCAACATACTTGTTGAAATGATTTTTAAAGGACCACAAGGCAAGGTGTTAAGTTTTGCTAAACCACTGCTTCCTTTAGAATTTCTATGTTTGTTTCAACTCTTCTCTTTTTGGCCGTTAGGTCATATCAGGGAACGAAGAGGTCGGTCATCTCTGTTCAGTTCCATCTCAACATATTTATTGAGGAACTAATTATCAACTACAGAAGAGTCAATTACTTTATTTCAAATGTTGCATTCTACAAGTAATTATTTGACGTACTTCTTTTTAGCTTCAGCAATGTTAGTCTTCATTTGTGCATCTGCCCTGGCAGCGGTAGCGAGCCCTTGTGCCTTTCTCAGCTCCGCCTTGGGAAGGAAGGTGTTACATTTAGAAGTAAAAAACTATTAAAGGTACTGTGACTTACACGCGACCTGCTTTTCTATTCTTTTATATAGGTGGAAGCGAACGTCGCCATACTCATGTATAATCAAATGAAGATGGCCCTCAAGGCGAGATTAGGCCATACAGAAAAAGCCTCAATTTTGCTAGTGAGCGCGCGATGATCAAGCCCCAAGCTGCACACAGAAGTAAGGAAGCACAATGCAATTCCAACGAACGAACTAAGCTTAACGTCCTCAAGCGAGGGTGAACAAATGATTGAGTCGCAATTGGTTTTAGTTTGAATCTGATTGATCGAGGACGTGGCGCGAGAATTTCTACCGATCAAGTTTTTTTCAAGTGTTGCTTCAAAAGCCCTTCCTTTCAGCTACCACATAATTTACCATGAACCGATGAAATGATGCGTATAATTAGGGCCAGTACAGGCATAAATGGGGTAAGTTTGGCCCATCATATCTCTTAAAAAAGCAGGGTGATCTGTATTTTTTCTTGCATTCTTGGAAACGGACATTGGCAGGGAAAATATGAAGAAAGTTGCTCTAAATTGTTTGATAACTTTTTTTCTGAGGGATCTCCTTAAAATTACCCTAGAAAAAAAAAAATGAGAATAAGACAATAATACCCTTTTATCTTTGGATGTTTGTTCCGCCTGCTTCTGAAGTTCCCTGAAATTTTTAGAAGTTTTAGTAAGATCTGGTAAAAGACAATAGGACAAATCGTTTCTTGTCTACCCAAAACGTTACCTTGCTTGTGTTTCAAGCTCTCGCGCCTTCTCCTCAGCTGCAATGTAAATTACAGAAGGGGCTTACAATAAAATATTTTCAAGGTCTAAAAATGCTTCTACAAACAAAGACTAAAATTAATTCCTATTCCATGCACCCAGCGTGGTAAGACATTTTGTGGAATGAACGCTACGTTTGGCGTATTGTAAATAGTTAATTCTGCTTTTGTTATAAGGTCGTCTCGAAACCAGGTTGAAAGTAACACAGAAGCGAGAAAGAGGAAACTGTTCTGAAACTTTACTTTCGAAAGGCAAAGTTAGAAGCTTTACCAGGTATTATGATTCAAGGTTGGACACAGTTTCGAATTCATTACCTATTTTAGCCTCGCGTACAGCCTTCTCACTTTCTTGCTCTGATCTTGTCTTGAACCTTTTCGAGGTGAAATCGTAACACCTAATAAATGGAGAACATGAAATACTTTCAAACCTAAATTCCACCACCTTGAACATGCCCCCATAGAGATACATACAACTTGCTGCATTGAAAAAGGTTGTCAAGATGTTTTGTATGTAGCAAACTAGCGCGAGAAAATTACCTAAAGTAGCAGTGTTTTACAAATCATCACAACAGTAACAAGAAAAATCAAGGAACCAATTTGACATTACTCACTTCGTGTTGTATAAGCAAGTCGTTAGTCTTTTCGTTCGCACCTTTTTACCCTAATGGAATAAAAAGAAGCAAGCGATCAGTTGGCACCACTGCAAGAACTCAATCAGCCAGCTCATTAGCATATACTGAACACAAGACAACTCGTACCTGTATGTAGATTTTCATTCGAGGATCCAAGTACATAATGGCAGTGTAGGCTCTAAAAGAAATCCTCTCAGGCATGGTCCTGACAGAAAAACAACAGGTGACCATTGAAAATTTTTTACTAGAGAAATACGACAGATACAAAAGAATCTATCAAGCTCTGAAATGCCGGAAATTTTTTAAAACTATTATTGATAAAATTACAACAAAGTTTTTATGAAACGATTACTCTGATCTCATGTATTTACTTTTGTGAGTTTGGACGCATGTTGAGCTTATAGGGCGCTCAATTGACTTGGGCCATCGCTCACATGCCCTTGGTTTCAAACCGGCTTGCTCGCAACTCGCTTGTAGGTTACAAGAGCAGCATCTAATACTAATCACCAGGACCATAGGGCAACTTTCTCAGACACGACTCTCATATGGATTCATTAATAAGAAGAACTGCTGAATCCACCTGGAATAGGGATTTTTTGGCCACTGTGCGCCATAACCCAAATGATATTAAACCTCAACCCATTATTCTAGGGTATCCGTGGCATTGTATGCATAAAAGGCGTACGCAATGTAGGGAACAAGGTCAAACTAGCACTTACAAGTCGTAATCTGCCACGTTTCCTCCAGCCTCTGGATCCGCCATTTTGATATCAGAAGGATCACTGACTACCTATGTATCCAATAACATTAACATCGTCAGCTTGACAGTGGCAAAGACACGATATTCTGCTGAGAGAGGAATTAATGGGCATGTCTGGTTGTTTTGTTAATAAAGAAGCAACGTCACGTCCAGTGTCCGTAGTAAAAAGTGGCAAGTCACAACGTTTCGCAAAAAGGATTTATATACAGCAGTTCAAAGAGCATAGAAATGATTGTAGAGAATAATTGACAATTATTTGCCAAAGTGAAGGTGAGTAATTGTTTTAGAATACACCACACAGATGTCAAAAACTTGTTTATTTCTTTCAATATGCCGAAAAATAGTCAGAAATAAAAACTCCTGACACACGATCTTGTGTTATCGGCTTCTCGGAGGTGAGTAGTACTCGCCATTCACTTCTGAACTATCCAACAGCGCGAGCGAAAAGCACTTTCCACTTGTGATAATATGACGACAAAGTAGCGGTAAATTACTTCTTAGAGTTAAAACGTTAGCATTGGTAGTGTGGGTTTGAAATGGACAAACTCGGAGAGGCTAGAAACGAACTGGATTCAGAAAAACGTCAAACCATTGGCTTGAGTTTTTTCCCGTTCATCTAAATTAATAGGAAAAAAGTTTTCAATATTTTTTGGAAATCATGCTTGTGTTGTGATTGTGACTTCTCTGCAGCTCTTAATCACAAGTTTAGAACCTATAATCAACAAAATTACTAACGTTGACGTTAATTACGGCGCAAACACTTGCTTACTTCGTAACACAACAATCCAATTTAGGGATACCTAGAGTCTAAATGCTGATTTCAAACTGAATCTAATAAAGAGTACTGACCGCACTATAATTATTGTTAATGCTAGGATAGAAGGGAAAGTTTTTTTTCAATCAGTTCACGAGCTACGATAAACATTATCATATTCCTTATCGCCATTTTGACTGACGTGTGAACTGGGTATAATTGCGTTCGACTTACATCAAGTTCAGGCTCGCCATTGTCCATGAGTTTTACATTATAAACAACCACTAGCGTCCCTAACGAGGAAAAAAGGAAAGACCTCGAGTGTTACTATATACAAAACGTCTATGGACAGTTATCAGATTCACGTAAAAAGTATACATACTAAAGTACCTTTCGATCCTATTTTATTAAATTGTTCAAACAACTGTGATTCCATCTTGAATGGCGAGAACTTCAAGATCAAGTCCAATTCAAGTTGATGCTGTTAAAGGAAAATGTTGATGTTGATGTTAATAACACTAGCTCTACGGTCAATTATCTTCAACGAGATGCGTAAAAATGGCGATACCTACCTTTTCCAATTCACGTTTGGATTTGCCAAAAGGTTTCTTGCTGGATACTTCCCAAGAAGGCATGGGAACCACAACCTGTAGTAAAAGTGAGAACCATAACAATCTAATTGTTCTGCATTTATAAATGGTTTTGGTCGTTAAATTTAGTAATTCGATATAACCACATCTCATACATTTGTGTTGCAGTGGTCCATCAGAGTCGAGACAGAGAATCCAGTCGGTGCTCAAAATCAAAAAGCGTCGTCTAAACAAATGTGACGGAGAAATTAAACAGTACAGTAAACACCCGCAAGTAAAAACACATGGATTAAGAACATCAGGCTGAAATTTTGCAAATAAAGCACCATTTTTATAAGAACAAAATCAGCCTGGAAATATAAAATGTTCTTATAAAATGGATAAGACATTAACATGCCCTTCATGTTACATGTATTTTCTTGTTCTGTTCACTAGTTAACTAGTAATAAGGCTGATTTTCTTTTGCCGGCTAATTGTTACAATAATGTCACGATATTTATTAATTTTCTTTTGCATTAAATATGCTAATTTAATCTCAAGCATTTTTTTGCATTGTTACAGTTCTGAATTCCAACAACAACATTTAAGAACAATTTAAGAACACCTTGAGGCTGATTTTTCACTAAGCACCCCATAAATAAGAACCTGATCAGCCTGGCCTCCAAACTCATGCGTTCTTATATGCGGGTGTTTACTGTAGTAGCAATGATCTCCCGACCCACAATATAGTCACTTCTGATGTGGAACGCAACGCTTTGCCTGCATACTGTTCATCTTCCTCGAGCGATGAGGTCGACTGAATACGCATCATATTAAGAAGCATTAAACGCCACTGTGATTGGCTGATTTTCAACAGCTATGATAAGGGCATTTCGTTCACTTCATTTTCACTTGGTTGAATGACAAGAACCTATTCAAAGATGCCCCCAAAACGATAAGGCAAGTCCTCTGAATTCGGCATTTGCTTAAAGAAAGAGGATGGTTCCACATAACGGTTCTCAAAATGTAAGCCATAAATTTAAAAGCATAATTTCCTCGGAGACTCACTTCTTCAATCTTCTCTTTCTCGTGGAATGTCCTTGAAAGGAACAGGCAGCTCATGGTGTTACCTCTGAAAATTGAAATAAAAATTCTGATTTTATTAAGCTACAAAAAGCATACTTTCTTTACAACAACAAATCTAACTTTACAGCTCAACAATTGAGGAAGTGAGATACTCCTCATCACAGCCATTTAACCAGCATCTTAACACATTCTATGGGTTCTAAATATTTCCCGCTCAGCGAATTTTTTTTTTGTATTATAAGTCTCCAAAATCCGACATCTACTGTCACAAATTCAGTTCAGTTCACTCTGAAACACGGATGCGCTTAAGTTTAAAAATGAGAGGAAGCACTCTTTTCAAATTAGGAAATTTTGAGACAATTTTAAAAGATCATTTTGAACCAAAGGTCACCAATAAACAGACTTTAAACCATACTTACTTCTTTGTAAAGAGGATCATGTCTTTCCCTATTCGCATGGTTCCCCTAAAACGTAAAAACATGTAGATTACTACGAGTGAAAATATACGTAAAAGCGTAACCAAGGGAAACATCTTTCAATAAGAAAGGGTAAACATCGTTTTAAAAACAGATTCAGAATGAGATTAAAAAAATCTGGTCAAAAAACCTACGACTTCAGTCCATTTCCATATTGCCCAATCATTCTAGAGTCTACGGTACGTTTAACGGAACGACCAAATTGTATCACATTTCCAACTTCGCCTGCAAAACAAGATTAGGATTCATTCCTATTTGACGCGCCACAAAGGACTACACAAAGTTGTAGCAGTCACACACAAAGGACTACAAAAAGTTGTAGCAGTCACAATTGAGAGGGTCCTAGAGAGGTAATTTACAACTTCACGTTAAAGAGGACGGGTTCTTGGTGGCTCTTCTAGAAACAAACTGAACAATTTAAGATTTCATGAATGTACATTTACACTTTTATCAATTTCATAACCATCTGTTTCTGTAAATGAGTGGATTTGACCCCGAGTAGAATAAGGAGCAGGGAGGCGCTTGGAAACATCTAAGAAAACAGTTCATTTTAACTTTTGGGGCTCTGGCCGACGTCCTAGATAAATGCTAGGGTCAGTACTTGATAGCGTCTTTCGCCGTAGTTGGAAATTATCTAAACATTATGCCAGCGTCGTTGGTTAAGTTTCTTATGTCAGGGCTAAATCTCCCTCTTTTGAACAATACGCTAAGATATTAAATCACAAGGACATTAAGTACGAAAAGGTCATTTTAGTCCTGTAATGGACAACTTACTTGGATCCATTCCGTCTCCGTCGTCGCGGAAACATAATATAAAATTTCCTCGACATGATTCGCAAGGTTCTGAAAATAGGTGAAACGTAGAATACGATTTAATTTTGTCGATGCAATTTACGCAATTGCTGATGTGTTCGGGGAATACAGTTTTTTTCCCAAGGAAAAGACCGTCAAAGCTACACGGAAAGGCGACAGCCTGAAGGATTATTTATTCGCCCCTCAAAATTAAAGTAGTTAATTTACACGGTA